TCAGCAGGATTTCTGCTCTGTGTGTTTTATTAAAAGAAGTGTTGCAGCCCCTCGCTGCAACCACATGGCTTAAAGAAGGTGACTGAATAGCCTGCTGATTACCTGCCTACTTAACATCATTCAAGTATCTGTAGTAGAAAGACACGAGAGTTCTGGTTCTGACGTGGTGTTTCTAGCTGTCCCTGATGCATCAGTGCCAGAGACACTTAGAAGTACACAGGCGATGGGCCGCAAACCTGTTCCATAAGTGCTGCTCTTCACAGTAGCTGTCAGGCTGCCAGTGCATCTCACTGCTGAGCAGCATCTCCTGGGCCTGGGGCAGGGCCACTCTCATCCTGTGGAGGCTGTTAGCTGACTGCTGCCATGGCGCAAACCCACCTTATTCTTCGGTGAGCATAACCCCCTGCCTTTGCAGGTCAGCCGGCATTTATGTGAGCGCTGGAACATCTCACAGATCCTCACCCCTGCAGACCCTGCAGACTGCACAGGCCTGGATGACCGTGGTGCCGAGGTGCTCAAATCCTCCATCTGCAATGTGGTGAACGAGAAGCCCAGTGAATGGGATGCCCACCTCGATCCCATGCTGTTCGACTTCCGCACTTCGGTCAACTCCGTCACGAAGTACACCCCCTTCTTCCTCATGTTCAACCGATATGTGTGCCTGTCATCTGAGGTAACCTTTTGATAAAGGAGAGTCATGTAGGAGGTTTGTCACTGGCAGACTTACTAAGTAACACCCAAATATCTGTACCTTGCAGGTGGATTTTGTCAAGGACTCTAAAGAGCAGGGGGCGGACTCCGGTAAGGCAGACAGCCTCCCGCCATTCACAGCTGCAGTTCAGGAGCAGCAGAACGCGGTGAAAGAAATTGTAAGTCTGGCACTGCCTTGAAATCATTTTGCAGGCCTCTGAGCTTCCCACAGGGTCCCTTGCAGCAGGCTGTGTAAGAGCCACACAGGAGGGATTTGACCATGCAAGTATCATGTGAAAGCACGTGCCTGCTCCCGCACGCAGAGACAGCCCTTGGCCCCATCTGTCTGGATGGAGCGGGGCCATCTCGCAGGTGTCTCTCCTGCCATCGGACGTGGAAGGAGGCTGATGGGCTCTACCCGCTGTGTGGAAGTGGAGGGTGGCAGGGAGGCCCCGCGCTGCGAATGCCTGAGGTGCACACCTGGCTCGGAAAGAGCGAGGCGGAAGCCAGTGAAGCAGTGCCTGAGACTCCGACCTGGCTTGAGAGGAGAGGTGGGCGGTGGCACGTTGATACATGCCAAGGGCAGCAAGAGTATAGCCTGACCCTCTCCAGAGCTGAGCTGGCACCACAAGGTTCCCTGGGGAACTGGGGGTGCTGCAGCTCAGAGTTGGGTGAGGAAACACCAGGTATTAGCTTACCCTGTCAAGGCTAGTGAGAGCTGTGTCCCAGCCTGCCCAGAACTCTGCCTTGTAATCTGCATCTCAAATCAGTCCTTTATTAGGCAGGGACAAAAAAACCCTTGGGGACCTACCATGAAATAAGGACTGTTAATTGTAACCCTGCTGCAAAATGGGAGGAGGGAGGCTGGGGCTACCGAGAAGACTAGCAGCCTTGTGGTATAGTGCCGGATTCAGGAAGCAAGACCAGCAGCGTTCAGTTCCTGACTGTGCCTCTAA